AGTAATCACTGTCCCGTCTTCCAAATCATTCTTGAGAATAAATTTCTTCCTTCCTTGTTCATTCTTCCTATGTGGAAGTTCTGGATCTGGGTCATCAAGAATATTAATCAGAGACTCCTCATTTTTCCTTCTTTTCTTTTCCTCTATCATTTGGGGCGTCAAACGTGCTTGAAGGTTTCTCACTTCACCAAACACAACACTGGGTTCCATGACAAGTTATGGAGGTAGATCACCATAAAATGACATCATGTTGACCAGAAAGCGAATCGTTTCTTTAGAAGGAAATTCTACGAATTGAGAAGGGTTCGGAGAAGTAAAATTCCCCTCTAATGAAGGATCACTTGTAGAAGCCTCATCAGACGCATCCTCTATCAATGTTAAGGATCGCAGAGACAACTCAATCGCGGTATGAGGGTCACTTGTTTCCTACACAAGCTCATTAGGCAACTCGTCAATCAGAAAGTGAACGTTCACATTTGCCTTTTTCTTCTTCTTCTTCATTTTTTCATCATGTTTAAGAGCAAGAAGTCTCATACCTCCTTGATGTCTGGGATCCAACTTGTTCTATGAACTATCACAGAAATGACCGATAGCATCTTTCTTTGCCACCCCACTCTTCACATCCTCCTCAAGAGGTCTATAATAGGTGGTAGTGTGAACCCCTTCACCACAATAGTAGCAGACAAAACTCTTCTTAGGACGATCATCATACTTCCTTCTTTCTCTGTTTCCTCTGTCACCATTCCCTCGATTCTTTCTGGATCTAGAAGAATCTTCCTTTTTACCATAGCCTTCATCATCATCATCTTCATCCTCCTCTTCACTTTTGGTTTTCTTATTTCCTCTGTCATCCACAATATGGTTTCCAAGCATATAGTTATCCATCACTCTTTGAATAATATTTTCATCACTCAGATTGTTCCCTCTGTTCATACCATTCTCAGTCTCTCGGTCCTTGGCCAATGTACTGATCTGATCCAGTGACCACTTCTTATTAGAAACTGTAGGTAGAGTTCTAACAATTACAACCTTTTCATCCCATCTGAGAGGATAGTGTTGAGTTTGATTGAGGACTGTCTGCCTTTCAGTGTCAGTAAAATTTGTCAAAAATATATGGCATCTTTGGGCTTCGTCCAAATATGAAATCCTTCTTGTTGTTCGGATGAAGGTCTGAAGAAAAACATTGAAAGTGTCATACTTAGCTCTTTTGATATTGAGTAAATTTTTTGTTGTAGTTGGAACTGAGTCTTTCTCAATTTCTTTTTCATTCTCTCTTTGACCTCTTCCCATGTAGTGGCCCCTTCCATGAACTCCTGAACAGCCAACCTCGAGTCAGTATCACAGTAAGATAGAAGGTGCTTAAGTCGTTGCTTGTCTGTCCAGCCGTAACTGAGCCCAAATAATTCATACTCATCCAGAAAATCTTTTGCTTGAGGTCCTCTGAAACAGGGAATTCTCTCATCTGGCCTCTTTGCTCTTGCGATATCTGATCCTCCTTCGATTGTGTCGACTCTCTCGACCAATTCTCGTATAACCCCAACCAAGGTCTCTTCATTGGTCCCTGCAGATGAGCTAGGTCTCGAACGACCAGCCATCTTGACCATAGACTTTCTCGGATACTTTCTTCTCTCTTTCTGCCACTTTTGTCCCCTCTTTCTTTATTTTTCAATCTTTCACTCTTCTCGCTAGGGATACAGACTCGTTTCTCTCTTCTCTTGTTTGCTCTATCCCTTGATAATTTTGTACATAAAGAGTATATGCAATAATAGACTGGTAGTGATCAAAGACAAAACAACCATTCTCAGCCTTCCAATGTAATCTTCAATCAACTCTCTTTCATCATCCCCACTCAGTCTTCTATTATACTCTTTTACAGTACCCCGAATCATAAAATGTCGAGTCAAGTCTATAATGTCATAATCAAATTGCATGGCTTATGATCCGGTGTTAATCCTCCTAGCAAGAGAGACTCGTTCCCTGGAAGAATGATTGGATATTATTTCAGTAACTCCTACTTTCACTACCTTCAGTAGGTAGCTAATCTCAGTCTGGTCAGTGACAACTCTCAGGGTAGAATCTCTCATCTGATCAAGAAAAGGTTGCAAGAACTCAAACTCATCCAAGGTAAGAGAGGTTTCTGTCAGAGATCCGAAGTGTCCCTTCTATCTTGATTATTCTTTCTTCCAGTACAACCCCAAATGTTAACTGTTCAACTAAGCTGGGCATCGTTAATCATCATAGGAAACATCTGAAAGATAGATCTCAGGTTTGACATAATCAGAGATTTCGATCCTGTGTTCAAAGGTACTCAGAAACAGGGATTTTATCATCACAGTAGTTTTTTTTCCTTGCTCTACCAATCTTAGCAATAGCGTCCAGTAGAGGCATCCAATTTTTTCTGTCTTCAAATCCCTCCGCAATTGAGAACTCAGGGAACCTTTCAAATTCCCTTACTCCTACTCCCCATGTCACTTTCCTTCTTAGCTTCTCCAGCCACTCTTTTGTCCGCTCAAGACTAACATACGCCCCTTTTAAATACTCCAAGTAGTCAACTTCCTCCTCTAGACAGATAAAGGAGTAAACCCTCACATCCAAATTGTCAGAGTTAAGAAATTTTACTACAGGAATATGAAATATTATATGTCCTTTCCCACAAGTCTCATGCCTCAGGATTGTAAAGGGATTATTATACCATGTCACCTCATAAAGTTTACCCCTCACTGTCGAAGCCCGATGGTCGGTCCTCCAGCTTCCTGGCGAAGCCCGATGGTCGATCCTCCTGCTCTCTGGAGAAGCTTGAAGGTCGGTCCTCCAGCTTCCTGGCGAAGCCCGATGGTCGATCCTCCAACTTCCTGGCGAAGCCCGAGTGTCGGTCCTCTCTCTCTCTCTCTCTCTTTCTCTCTCTCTTTCTCTCTCTACGTGCACCTTATCTCTCTCTCTCTCTCTCTCTCTCTCTCTCTCTCTCTCTCTCTCTCTCTACGTGCACCTTTTCTGATCCTTTAGCTTCCTGTCGAAGCCCGAGGGTCGGTCCTCCAGCTTCCTGGCAAAGCCCGATGGTCGATCCTACAGCTTCGTGGCGAAGCCCGAGGGTCGGTCCTCTCTCTCTCTCTCTCTCTCTCTCTCTCTCTCTCTCTCTGCAACATCTCTCTCTCTCTCTCTGTGCAAGATCTCTCTCTCTCTCTCTCTCTCTCTCTCTCTCTCTCTCTCTATGTGCACCTTCTCTCATCCTCTAGCTTCCTGTCAAAGCTCGAGGGTCGGTCCTCCAGCTTCCTGGCGAAGCCCGATGGTCGATCCTCCAGCTTCCTGGCGAAGCCCAAGGGTCG